CCCCCCTTTGGGTCCACTCTAACAAACACACCGGCGCACCCGCCGTGACAGCCATCTTACTATTCATGACCATCGCTTTTCATTATTCAGTAACTTGCAACATACTGTAAAGATACAGCTTGTAGTATTCATTAAGAAAATCTTTGGCAGCGGATGAGTGGTGTGATTTAAATATCATACAGAAAACGTATGACATTTTTTTAAGTTGTATTTTTCTTTTCTTTCTTTCTTTCTCTGATAGACTTGTTCCTTTGCTTTACAATGCCAGCTTTTGACCATTGCCAGGTTTTCAGGTTGAATGTCTGCTTTTGTTTGCCTACTCTAAAGTACAGTCTGTTAATGAACCATAATGTCACATGTTTTAACATTGACCTTTTAAAGCCAGTTGACCGCCCACACTACAAAACGGGTTCATTCACCAGCAGAAGTTAAATAAAAAAAGGCTTTTTTCCACTTTTTTCTTTGTTCCTGTCCAGCAATGTAAGAATCAGAATTGTTGTCTGAAGGCCAAAAAATACCCCACACATTTACGTTCCCAAATGGACCATTTGCTGTAATAGTCTAGTTGATCGTCATATTTTACTAGAATTTTTGAGTCTATCACAGCAGACAAGTCACTCACAAACTCAATGACAATCACTTCCAGGGAAGAACAGAGATGGGTGTAGGAGGTCTATTCATAAAGAGAACACAGATTAGACTGAAGGCAAACACAGATGGGTGAATCAGTTAGTTAGAGCTGGGGCTACACTGACGCGAGTGGCACAACAATCCAGCGACGAGTAGCGTCGATCTATTGTCTTAAGTATTTGTATAGTGCTTTACTAGTCCCTAAGGACCCCAAAGCGCTTTACACACTCAGTCATCCACCCATTCACACACTGATGATGGCAAGCTACATTGTAGCCACAGCCACCCTGGGGTGCACTGACAGAGGCGAGGCTGCCGGTCACTGGCGCCACCGGGCCCTCTGACCACCACCAGCAGGCAACGGGTAAAGTGTCTTGCCCAAGGACACAACGATTGAGACTGTCGGAGCCGGGGCTCGAACAAGCAATCTTTCGATTGCAAGGCAAACTTCCAATTCTTGAGCCACGATCGCCCCACAGTAGTGTCAGGAATGCTGAGATAATGAGCAGCAGGTGAGAGGATGTCTCGCAGGTGTTGGCCAAAAGCTGGAACCCATCATGAGTTCCGCACAGGCGGAATACATATATGTGTATATATTATTCTGAAATTTCAAGATTAAAGTTAAAAATCTATTTTGAGAAATTGTGGCGATTACAGTTGTTGTTTCAAGACAAATTGCCATGGTTGCTATACCCTCTGAGTTAGTGAAATTGTACTTTAAAAGAGGAAGGAAATGACTTTTCTTTTAGCACATGAGTGTAAGCACACTGAAAAGATCTGTTGAGACGGATAAACAGACAAACTTTGAAGAGTGGATTTGTAAAATAATGAAGTGGCTGGCAGTGGACTGCAAAGGATATAGATGCTTACACCCATTTACATGACATTTTGACTTTTTTTTTCTTAAAATAGTAATATGACTTTTTTTCTCATGACTTTTGTGATTGGTTATTAAATGTTTGCTGTTTTTTTGTTTACTATTTGTATAATTAAATAATATTTATTTCATTAAATTGTGGATTCCAGTGTTTAAGTAATAGTCCATAGTCAATAGTCTGTATTGGTCTTCACAGTCCACAGTAATTATAATGAGAGATAAGATGTTTTCTTTTATACATGTGCGTGTAATAAATAGCAGTCATACTATCAAAAACATTAATTCAGTAAATGCAAACAACCCTGGTTCTTAAAATAGGAATCCTGCCACAAAGCACTGCCTAGAAGTAGCAGGTAAGACACCTGTCTAAATCTCGGATTTAGTCATGATCACGTGACCTGGGTTTTGAAACCCACTTCAAAGCAGTGTTTTGAAATATCTGTGCTTCAGAAACTCGGCACGGAATTGAAAAGTCAGTATCGAGCGTCCATCCCTACTGACCTGCTTCACAGCCAATTACAGGCTCAAAATGTCAATGATTCATACAGAGATTTCCCTAACTTGAGGAAACTTACCGTTATCTTGGTGTTTGTTTGTGCTTTTGTTTTTATTTTTCCCCCTCTCTTCTTTTTCTTTGCTACGGAAGAGGATTAGGGCCACCGGAAAAAAAGTGGGCATTTTTTTCTTCTTTTCCAGAATTCTGAGAAAAAAGTCAGAATTCTGACTTTAATGTCAGAATTCTGGAAAAGAAAAAAAAGATGTGCCCACTTTTCTTCCCCCAGTAGCCCCAATCCTCTTCCGTACTTTGTGCCTAGAGGATATATTCTTCTAACATTGTTTTGTTCTTCAGCCTGCTCGTTGGACATTACCAGCAGAGCTCAGAGCGGAGGGGCAGGACAAATCGCTACACAAACATTCCTCTGTTTGCATAATACTCCTTTTTTGTACACTGATACCTTTAACATATGAATTATCACTCACACGTGCAAAAATAAACCCTCTGTCCTCAGGGACCCTAAGCAGGCACTTCGTATTTGTAATGCCTTGGGCTGACTCTGCATTGCAACGTAGTTACAGCATAAAGCACTTTGAAACAACCTTTTTGACACAATTGTGTGTCTTTTCAAAAAGATACTTGTGATCCAGTGCAGCTGGTTGTCACTGAACACAATTTCATTGTATATTTCTACAATGGTAGTTATCTAACTAATTTATTAACCCCCCCCCCCCCCCCCCCCCCCCCCGCAAGATGTTAAAAGAGCTAAAAGATGCTGCTAAATGGGAATTTTGTCTTGTGTAAACTTGATGCCAGTGACCAAATGCACTAAATGTTAAGCACTTGCTAAACAGACTTGCTCAGTGCTCAGCCAGGTAAAACACACCAAAAATAAATATTTTGATGAGCATACAGCTTTCCAAAAGGGCCATTTTAAAAACATAAAAAAGTAACCAGGGGTCCTTGCAGGTTAAAGAATCGGACACTGCTGTATTACCGTGATACATGTTAATATGATACAGTGGGCTTGGGGTAACTGGACTGGTACTTACATGGCATGTTTGTACTCTGCTTGAGCACTTGAACCACTGGCGAAATCGAAAAATGGTTCCTAAAACCAACTCTGTGCTTTTTCAGTGATATTAGGGTCATTGCGATAAATCTAGGTAGAGTGCCACATCCAAATCTCGCTGCTGCTGCAGCACTGCGCCTGGGGTTACTGTAATCACCCCAATACGCCTGAAAAGCGCGGAGTCACTGCTTTCTTGAACCTTTGGAATTCTTCCAGTTCAGTAAACGGTTCAGGTGTTACGGGAGTTACAGATGAAAAAAGTGAGCTCAGCGAAGATGTGAGCCCCAGAAACCTGAAGTCGGAGACACATTCCACTTGTTCTCCATATAAAGAGAGGGGAGGGGACCTGTCTGTGCCCATAGGAGTCTTTTGTTTTAAGGATGTTTGGCTTCAGGTTTTTTCTGAGCACCGGTGGGACAACGTCTACCTCCGCTCTGTACGCTGTCTTATCTTTATGGGTGAATGAATTAGTTGTGTAAAGCGCTTTGAGTGCTCAGATAGAGTAGAAAAGCGCTATATAAGAACCAGTCCATTTACTACAGTGTTGAACACTGAACTGTAGTCTGTGAGGCAGTGTAACACAAGTTAGGAAGGTGATAAGTAGACAGCATCAGCAGACTGGTCTGTTTCTTCTTGGTGTATTTTATTTTTCTGATATTCTGCCATCGTAAACCACTGGTTCCTAAAATCTTACTGGTTTTACACAGAATTTTACACACTTCTGAACCTCATTAGTCTCTACCATTAAGAAATCAGTAATTGGATTTTTCGAGTTTTCTTTGTATTATTGTGGGATCTTTACCTTACAATATAAAGCACCTTGTGGTTGTTGTGATCTGGTGCTAAATAAATACAATTTTATTGAATAAAATTAAATTGGAATTGAATCGCACTTTTCATAACTGTCCACATTTCTGTGGACTTACACAAGGGCCATGTATCATAAACCAAGACTGTGCGGATTGCTATAGTAACCAGGTGATTTACATTGTGCAGCTGGGTTTTCTACATTGCAAAGGTCTGTCTGTTCTTACTGGGATACATTGCCATGGTAGGTTTTTCTACAAACATATCACTCTTCCTGAGAGATCCCTTGGTTCTCAGTGTGCAGGTAGGAGGGTCTAAAATGTTTCAGTAGTGTTTAAATCTGTCTATCCTTGATTATTCTGAGATGCAACTTTATTCCTTGACTGGACTTTTCCCTGTAAACTGCAAAAAATGTTCCCATTCTTCTAATAAGCATCAATATGTGATTCAGGACAGGACGCCAATCTGTTGATTATTTGTGGACTTTGTGGAATTTCCTGTGATCTGAAGGTGACAGTTTGGGCTTTTTTCCTCGCAAAGTGGTGACACATCTGAATAACTTCTACTTATGTACAAATGTTTGAAATGATGACCTTGGAATGTGTAGTTGTTCAAAAATGGGTCTAACTTGTTTAAATATAAATTCTCCTCAAATCTTCACTGAATTCCTCAGACTTCCCCATTGTTTTAAATACTGGTTCTTTTAAAAAAAAAACATTTTTATGATGGCAAAAAGAACTAGTTGTTGTTGTTCGTCATGATCACTAACGAAAATAGGCTTTGGCTTTGTTAAGTAAAAGACACATTAGAACTTCCAACACCGCTTACTACAAAATGTAAATGATTTCGGTTTTTAAAAGATGTGTGTTGTACAATCGTTCCACCACGCGCAACAAATCGCTCAAAGAATTCAAAGCCCCAGATGACCATGAAATCCATGTCACGGTGAGTGTATGTAATTTAACCCTAACTGTGAGTCAATTCAGATAACGAAAGCATGCCCCGAGTATGTGGTTAGTTTCAAAGTATACCACGAAAATAATGTGTAGCTGTGTTCTAATCATTGTAAAGAGCTAGACTACATGTTTAGAATAAAAACAGATCAAAGGAACAGGAGAAAAGAGACAAAAGATTCTCTCAGTTTATAAAGGCAACAATAATTCACACGTGATCATTTAAAAGCAAAAACATTCAGTCAGGTAGCTTCATTTCTTGTTTTTTCGAGCCTTGTCTCTTTCTGCTTTGAAAACTTTATTTCTCAATCACAGCAGCTCGTTCATTCAGAAGCAGTCAAATACGTATCGTATAGCTGATGTTTTTTGCTCAGCTAAGAACTCTGCCTCCGTGTGGACTGGAAAACTCAGCAGCAACTCAGATTCATTCCCAACCGCACATGCTAGTATCAATAAAGACGGATAAATCCAAAAGAGTTGGGGTAAACTGAGCTCAGTTCATACTACAGAGAGGAGAGATTCATTTTTTGTGTCTGTTAGGACACTAAGCAACACAGATGAGTAAAATGATGATGAGAGAGAATGAGAATAAAACTCAGACTGACCTTTTTCTACACAGTTATATAATTACAAAATGCACTGTATTTCTACCCTGGGATTAAATTAAAACTTCCAGACACTGACAGCAGTTAGACCATATAACACAGATTTCCCACATATTCATGAACCGGAGGGGGCCATGATTTCTCTCTTTCCTGTACTCAGCCTCCCAGTGAGCTCTGAGGTCTTGACAGGGCAGATGTTAGCACACCAGTAATGCTAAAATGTGTGAAAGTTAAGCATGTGCAGGACAGTGAAGCTGTCTTGGTGGTCAGTCAGAGGTTCCTATACTCCGAGTCACTCACCTACTCGCTTTTTTGGCAAACAACATCACAGTATGTCTGTGTTTTAGAGGTCAGACAGAGTTTGAGCTCTGCTTTGTACTGGAATTGACTCCGTTAACATTTGTCAGTGTAGTTTTGCAGAAGGAAAATCCTTTCACACAGAAAAGTACTTCTGTGCCTTTTTTGGTACATCCCAATAATGGCCTCCTGTTAGTCCATAAACAAGAAAGGCTGAGCTGTAAACCACTGGGTCACACACATATTTTGCTCTGTCTTCCAGGATTGCTTTCTTCCTTTAGCAGTGAATCTCATAAGCAATGGGAGAGTCTATGAAGAGGCCTGTGTGGTTGAGAAACATTCCTTCTGCCTCTAATGTGATCACGGGCTCTGCCTCCCCTCCTTCCCCTGCCATTCTCCTCATGGTCCGTATGTCACCATCCTGCTGCTGCTGCTTGTCAGGGGCCAGAGTGGGGCTCATGGTCTGGCCAGGGCCCGAGGAGAGGGTGTGGCTGGAGGTATCGGATGGTGCTGAACAGCCCAGGTTAGTGGTGGACACAGCTGTTGGCGGAGCAGGAGGAAGCACAGGCTTGGCCCTGTTGAGGACATACATTTCATGGCCACGCTCATCACGATACTCCTCCAGCTGGGCGAAGGTAGTGGGGCCATCAGAGTAGTCATTCACATACAAGATGCTCTCCTCCTGTGAATTCAAATTCACCTTCATTAATATGACAATGTAAACGACAAAAAAAAAACACCTTACAATATAAAGCGCCTAGAGGTGACTTTAATTGAATTGAATTAAATTGAATTCAAACAGGCGTTACATGTAGGGACCGCAGCCTATCCCGTGCTCAGGTGACCACAGAGAGACAGACCATCATTCACACCAACAGGTAATTTAGAGCATTTGGACTGTGGAAGGAGTCTTCACATAGAGAGCCCACACTGGCAAAAGAAGGTGGTGCAAATCCAAGACCCTCAGTGATAAACACTGCAGCGCTGCCCCCATTTAATTGATTTCATTTTCTTTCCTTTTATTGGATTCTTACTGAATTCCCAGTGCCCTGCAAAAGTCTTGAGTCACCCCTCTTTTTATATATTTTACAAGAAAACTCAACACCAAGCTCTTCATCAGACTATCAGTGACTGATAGAGTTGCATTGTATTTTCCTATCCAGGTATTCTGGCACTGTGTTTCTGATTATCATCTGGCAGAAAAATAAAGTTGTTGCCAATCAGACTCTTTCTGATGATATTGCTTGGTCAATCAAAATTCTACAATACTTCTCTGTGCTAAAGATTTCATCAATTTTGACAAAATATCCAACACTAGTGGCTGAAATGCAGTCCCAAACCTTGACAGAGCCTCCACTGTGTTTTACAAATGGCTGTACACATCAAACTCCTGACCTCCTCGATATATATATTGATATTTGAATCAACAATTTGGATTCATCACTCCATCAGATTTGTTGCCAATGATTCTTAGTTCAGGTCTTGTGTAACACACCTCAGTCTTTCCTTCCTTAAAAATGGCTTCTTGACAACGACTAAGATTGTTTCTGATAAGGCTTTACAACAGAGGGTCTAGATACATTACTTAGGTCCTGTGTCAGGTCTTTGCTGGATTTTTCCCCTTTATCTTGAAGACATAAACTTTTAGATATTGTTCATCTTCATCTTACAGATAGTTTCTTCAGTTTTTTAAGGATAGACTGCAAACCACGCTGGGATATGCAAGATTTAGGCTAATAGCTCTTTAGAAGTTGCTAGCACAAAAATACTAATTTATACTTGTCAAATTGAGTTATGTGTGGCATTACTTGGTAGATTCAACTAAAGAGTGACAAAAATACATGTGTGTTTTTGCCACAGGCTGCTGGTAAGGGGTCTAAATATACATGTTAGGTTCCCTGTATGTTTGAGTGATTCACAGGTCAGTGGTAAGTAGTTTTGACTAATAACATTATCTGAAAATGATCACATACAAGAACTAGACTGAAAATTATCTGCCAGTGGCCGAAGAAAAACTTTAAACTACTTTCAGATGGTGAATGGCCTGTATTTATATAGCGCTTTACTAGTCCCAAAGGACCCCAAAGCGCTTTACATATCCAGTCATCCACCCATTCACACACACATTCACACACTGGTGATGGCAAGCTACATTGTAGCCACAGCCACCCTGGGGCACACTGACAGAGGCGAGGCTGCCGGACACTGGCGCCACCGGGCCCTCTGACCACCACCAGTAGACAACGGGTGAAGTGTCTTGCCCAAGGACACAACGACTGAGACTGTCCAAGCAGGGGCTCGAACCGGCAACCTTCCGATTACAAGGCGAACGCCCAACTCTTGAGCCACGATCTCCACGATGGATTGGAGAACTATTGCTCAAGACCTCTTTAAAAAATTACAAGTCTTACTCCTCCATCCATCTATTTTCTTCCACTAGTCCTGGGCCAGGTCATTGGTGGAGTAGCTTAAACAAGGATGCCCAGACCTCCCTCTCTCAGCCAACTTCTCATGCTTATCTGGGAGAACACTGAGACAATCCCAGGCCACCCAAAAGATCTAATCTCTCTAGCATGTCCTGGGTTTGCTCCAGGGCTGCCTTCTGGTAGGACATGCCTAAAACACCTCATGCAGGAGGTGCCCAGGAGGCATGTCCGAATCACCTCATCTGGCTCCTTTCAATGTGAGTAGTAGCTGTAAACTGAGCCAGTCTTAGATAACTGAACTCCTCACTAAATCTCTAAGTGAGATAGCCACCCAGTGGGGAAAGCTCATTTCTGCCACTAGCCTCTATGATCTCATTCTTTCGGTCACTACCCAGAACTCATGATAACAGGAGAGAGTAGGGACATAAATCAAGAGCTTTTCTTTAATGCTCAGCTGTCTTTACCACAATGGACCAGTCCAGCATCTGCATCACTGCAACTGTAGCCCCAACCCATCTGTTAATCTCTCACTTTCTTCTCGCCTCATTCACTAACAAGATCCCAAGATACTTAAACTTGGTTGGTGGCACTCTCACCTGGTGTTTGCTCTTTCTGTGGTACACTATCACTTCTTGTGTTTTGTGTAGCTAGCCCATTTAATTTAAACTCTTGGAAAACATATTTTTTCATAGTGTAATATGAAGATGATTTTTGTAGTGCAGATGATTCATAATATCCATCTGCTTTATCCAAAGCAAACTCTGTTAAACCACCTGCTAATTATATTTACAGTATTTAGTCATTGTGTCTGTAGGGATTTGCTAGCTTAGCTTAGCTCATAGCTAACTTGCTATAAGCACAGCATCTTCACCCGTCCATCTTGCACCTTCTTGCTCCATGTGCAAGAGGTTTAGTTACTCCTCGGCCTCCCTTATTAATAATGGTTCTTGTAATAAATGTAGCCTGTTTTCAGCTCTGTAGGCCAGGATTCCTGAATTGGAGTTGGGATCATGAAGCAGACTTGCTGTCTACATCTCTCTGCAGCCTGTCTCCTTCTGTCATCCCCTAAACTCCATCCCCTTAGAGACTGCAGTTGCTCCCAGACCACCAAAAACAAACCAAATTTTTTTTAGCAAAAATGATTTAAAAACATTAAAAAAAAATCACAAAGAAAGAACAATATAGCACCAAAGAGTAAAACTGTGGATTCTTAAACTTTAGTCCCTGTTAGTAAAAGATTTAATAATTGATCAACACTGAAAATGGCATCTCACTAATTTAGAAGATTTTCATTTAGCCTGGAAAAAAAAGATTGTTGCTCTATTTAAAATAAAGCTCTCCATAAAGCTAGAAAGTCTTACTATTCATCCTTGTAGCCAGGCTGACAGAGAGTCTGTCGAGCCAAGCATTTCACCAGTCGTTACTTCACATTTCTTGACAAATAAAAATTTGACTATTTAGAGAAAAAATATTCATAACCATCTGACTGATGTATCATTATGTACTTCTTCCAATTCTATTGATAATTTAGCCTCTCTATCTATTAGCCTCTGAATTGATTTTTCTGAGTTAACTCCAGTAATTACTTCCTCCAAATCATAAACATGTCCATTGGGCCCCTACATCTTACAAGAGTGCTCAAAGAAGTCCTTTGAGAAGTCTATTAATGCTTCAATTTAAACTATGATCTATATATCCCTATTACTGGGCTATGTACCGAGCCATGTATCAGAAGCCTTTAAACTGGCAGTGATTAAGCCATTACTTAAAAAGCAATCACTTGCTGTTTTAGCTAATTATTTCAGGGGCACCACCAATGGCTGGCCAAAATTTGCAGGACCCCCAGTGGACCCCCTGGCATATGTTGGTAATAATTTTAATAAACATGAGTACAAGAGAAGACACTCTACAGTGAGTTGAAACATTAATGTGTTATTTATTCCTGCATATACAATTTTTGTCATTCGTATTGTATTCGTATTTCGTATTCTATGCAGATGACACCCAACTTTATCCATGAAGGCAGATGCATCAATTAACTAAACTACAGGACTGTCTTAAAGACATAAAGACCTGGATGACCTCCAATTTCCGGCTCCTAAATTCAGATGAAACTGGGGTTATTGAACTTGTAAAATTGTATTGTAAAATCTTAGAAATATGGTGTCTAACGTATGCTTACCCTGGACAGAGATGGCAGAAGCACAGGCTTTCTCGCAACTATCTATACTTCTACTTAAAAGCTACTTTTACTTTCGTACTTGAAGTACATTTTAAAGCCTGTACTTTTTCAGTTTTATTTGAGTAAGGAAGTTTCTTCAGTACTTCAACTTTTCTCTAAATCTAACCTTTCTCCTTCTCCTTTCCTGTCTGTCGTCCAACATCAAGTGAAGTTATCTGGCACCGTTTTCTCTCCTTTAGCACAGTTTGTGTGCTTGCTGATGTTTGTTGAGCTGATAGAAACATTGAACTTCAAATTACCCGTTTCTTAAAAATAGCACTCTTTTCATGCTTCCTCCTCTTGTGTAGAGATAGCTAGATTCTAAAGTACCGCAACCACAACTTACGGAAACCTGCACCTCTTCCGGCCCATTTTAACTCGGATTATAAATGCTATAGATGATACAGTTGAACCTAAAATAATGAGTTTGTTTTGAAAATGTAAGGAGTAAAAAGTACAGATATTTGTTTAAACATGAAGGGAGTAAAAGTAAAAAGTTATCAGAATACAGAGTGTTTGTACTTTCCTCAAGTAATGTGTGGAGGAGGTGTGATCCCTGGCTCAGCTGTGAGCCAGTCTTTATATAGTGATACCTGAAAATTCTAAGTACAGTAACAAAGTACTTGTACTTCATTACTTCCCATCTTTTAATCTAAATGGGATTACACTGGCCTCCAGTAACTGTGTGAGGAATCTTGGAGTCATTTTTGACCAGGATATTACACAAATATGTAGGACTGATTTCTTCCATTTGTGCAATGTCTTTAAAATTAGAAACATCCTTTGTTGAGTGATGCTGAACTTGTTGATGCATTTATTACTTCTAGACTGGATTATTGTAATTCGTTATTATCAGGATGTCCTAAAAACTCCCCAAAAAGCCTTCAGTTAAATGCTGCACTGAGAGCACTGGGACTATATTTCTCTCATATTGGCTTTTCTTCATTGTCTCCATGTAAAATCCAGAATCAAAGTTAAAATCCTTTTCCATACAAGGTCTTGAACACATAAGGTCAAGCCCTACACTTGACTCTTAGACTCCTCGGTTAATTGTGGGATATTTAAAAGTAGGATAGTAATTGGTGACAAAGGGCAGCCCTGGTGGAGTCCAGCATGCACCATGAACAAGTCGGACTTGCAATGTAAACCAAGCTACTGTAATAGCAATAGGACAGACACACCATGGTCCCAAAGCATACCCCAGAGGATACTCCGAGGGATGTGGAAAAGTTTCCTCCACAGTCCACAGAACACATGTAGACTGTTGAGCAAACCTAAATACATAAAACCGCATCTACATCATCAGGTTGTGTGTATCTCTATTGTTATATGACTGCTGCAGATTTGTTTGATCACACATAACAAATTTTAAAGTTATAACAAGAACAGTTATTTTTAACCAGATACACTGATCGTAACATAAGCTCATAAAACATATCTTGACACATGTGGTCATAAGGTACCATTTGTGCCAAAAATTTGTTAACATGAACGCTGTTTACATGGACAATACATTTGTCTGTATTTGCGACATCGCACTTTACTTCAGTTGTAACAAAACTCTTTCGACAAACAGATGGTCCATGTAAAATGCTCACCTGACAAAACATTTGTGTGTGTCAGTGCAGTTTTACTTCTGTCATCTTGTTGTGCTTCCTCTGATTTTGTTGTGTTACACTGACACAGACAAATAATTGAAAATTCATTCATAAATTCCTATCTACTATGAGGATAAATGCCTTTATTCTACTTTTAAATATGCCAATCACATTTGTAGTATTGAACATATATGCACCTTTTCAGCCCCATCAGCCTCTTTGTCCCGTTGGTGATGTCGACTGTAGATCATGGCGACTAGCAGCAGAGCAGTCAAAGTCAGCAGTGAGATGCCCACAGCAATGGCAGTCTGAGTGGCAGCTCCCAGAGCACTGAAGGCCATGCTGCCCAGAGCATACAGGGGTTCCCGGCTTACATCTGAGCCCAAAGCAGGACCGTGGCTCCTCAGTCGAGGCCAGGCAGGTGAGTATGGTAGAGACACCTGGGACCATGAAGCCCAGATGGAGGAAGAAGATGAGGAGGATGTTGATGAGTTGATGGCAAGTTGAAAGGTGACTCTAGCCACACCTCCTGCGTTCCATGCTTCACATTCATAGAAGCCTGCATGAGCCACAGTTACATTACTGAGAAACAACATGCCACTGCCAGTGTCGGGGTCAAAGAGTTCGCCATTAGCCTTCTGGAGACTGACTCTGCCTTCCTGCGAGGGCTCCTCTGCTCCTCCCATTCCACCTCCACCTGCATCCAACTCCTGAACCAGGCCTCTGGGAGAAAGGACTACTTTACCCTGGGAAGCTTTCCTCCAGGTCACCTGCAAAAGGTATTGACATTTCTTTCTTCAGTGGTCTTACAAAGGATAAACCATCACAGTACAAAAAGAAAAACAGATACTACTGTTACAGTACTGTCAACCTGAACTGGAGTATGTAACTGATGATTCATTCAAGATGTTTTAAATAAATGAAAAAAGGAGGAAAATTGAAGTAACCACTTTAGCTGACCACACTGATTGCATGCAGTGTATTTGGAACAGTCAAAGAAGACCAGTACAAACAAATTCACTCATTTGATAGGCAGGACTTATGGCAAATGGTGGGGAAAACAAAATAATTTAAAAGAATATTAAAACTTTAATTACCACTTTATTTCACTTTAATTATCATTACCTGTGGCCGAGGATAACCAGTGGCATGGCACGACACCCTGAGGCTCTCTCCCAGATGCACTGCAAGCCTCTTGGGCTCCAGCTGCACCAAGGGAGGGATACAGACCAAGCTGTTGAGAGGAACCTCCACCAAGCTCAGATGGGACAGGCGTGGTGGCTCGATGCAAACTAGTCGACGTTCTGCAGAGCTAAGCAGACGCTGACCCTCTTCATCAATCCAGGTCCTCAGCCAGTGCAACGCACAGTCACAGCGCCATGGATTATCTGCAGCATAGCACAAGACAGAAGCCACTTAATGTTCTGCCCTAAAGAGTCATGATGATTACCATATTACTAGGCTCTACATGAGTAGCTATCTGTAACTCAGTGAACAGATGTTATTATGCGTGAAACTGTATAAAAACCCAACAAAAAACCCAAAACACAACATGGGTTCCAATGTCATCAGTAAAGGAGCCTCACCTGTGATACGCAGGACCTGCAGGCTCACTAGAGGTCGCAGTGTTGCAGGGCCAATTGTGTGGAGGTTATTCCTACTCAGGTCCAGCAGAGCCAGAGAAGTCAAACCAACTAAAGCCTGGTCGGCTAACGTCTCTATACTATTATGCTGTAAGTGGAGCTCCTGCAGACGCTGAGACATCAAGAGAATGATGTACATTATCTATGAAGCTTCATATAGGGCTCAGCAAAGCTGCTGTGTTGAACAGGAAAGTGAGACTGTACCGGTAGGCCACGGAAGGTGTAGTCCAGCAGCCGTGTGATGTCGTTTCGTGCCAGGTACAGAATGCGTAGATGTTCGAGTCCCTGAAACATGTCAGCTGTCACCAAATGGATGCGGTTTCCATTCAGTGCTAGCTCCAATAACTGACCGAGGCTCTGGAAAGAGCCAGGCTCCACGGCTGAGATGGTGTTGTTCTAGAGGAAGAGGGACATGAAAAGAAAACTAGAAAAATGTCTGCTTCTGGTTAATCTCCTGGAACTACCACTACTATGATGTCATTTGGTTTTATGAAAATTTATGTTTTATTGTAAAATGTACCTATTTTGATTGTAAGCCCAACAAGGGACTATTGTTGAAAATTAGCAATAGCTATAAACTTATGTGCATTACATCAGTTTCATGTTTTGTACTTGAACTATGTTAAACTGCACTGTCCCTTTTAAATAAATAAATTTAAATTCCAAATACTTCTGATGATGCCTTTGAAACACATTTTCTGTCTTCTCTGTTGTGATCCTTTTATTTTGGAGCAGTCTAACATTTGACAGTGTTTTTGGCACAAGGAGGAGAGTGACTCAATTCACAATTTCACTGTTTCAAAAAATACGTACAATAGATTCATAAGAGGTAACGCCAGTGATTTTCTTAATGTCTGTTTGCTGGAGTAAGGAAAGTGTTACTATACATGTTCTCAGCTTTGGTTGGAGATGATGACCACAGAGTTGAAAATTAAACATTTCTGGCGGTGTGGAGTCAGAAAGAGGTAAGTTCATTAGATGTCTACAACTACTTATCTCTGCTGCAGGCTAGCAGCTCATGGTGACAGTAGTGCCCTCTAATATAATATACCTCAAACTCTGAAGTGGTTGCAGGTGCACTGCTGGGTTTTAAAAACAATGAAAACTGTAATGTAATTTGAGTATAAATAGAAGGCCATGTATTTGATAGACATCTGCCTTTGGAGCCAATTTTGGCCTATATGGGTTTTTGCCATGACTGGCAATGTATTTTGAAAAGTCTAGTTTTTATTTTTATTTCAGTTAACCAAAATTTCAACCCACTTTAATTTAGTTTTAGTTAGCAATAACAACCTTTTGCTGCAGCCTTACAAGACATCGACCCTGCTGTATTCTTAAACCTGCTCAGTGAAATCCTTCCTCTGTTGCATTAAAACATTTTGGAGGGTAATACTTCGCTATAATTTGATACTACTGAGTGAAGTAAACACAGCGTATACCATTGCTAGAATGTATACAAATCCATACTTAGTATAAACTGTGATGTAGTCAACAGATTAAAACTGAAGGCTAAAGAGTCTTAGTGTAAGTGTTTAAGAGTGTATGTGCATTTATTACCTGCAGGTACAAATAGTGCAGGTGCTTCAGCATGGTGAGGTCCTGTCGACGGATCTGACCAATCACATTGTCCTGGAGAAAGATGGTCTGGATGGAGAGATGAGCAGGGACAAAAGAGGAGTTTTAGTCACTATTGTCTTAAAACATTTGATACATTGTGATTAATGCTCTGATCAATCTATCTCTATTAATAGGCTCAAATCTTCATTTTATCTCAAAATTTCTTCAAAGAGTAGCTGTAAAGCAGCTAATTGGGCATGTGCAGAGATATTGTTTATTTGAAGAGCTCCATCTATTTAACAGTCTGCAGTTTGTTCATGTTTTCCACAGGGTTCTGTGCTAGGACCAATTTTATTTGGATTGGATCAACTGGTCCCTAAATGCAACTGACACCCCTTTCTCAACAAGAAGTCTGGGCTTGGGTGAGCCTGAGTGCTGAAGATATCTACCTATTCGGAACCATGGTAACAGGGTTCTGGCGGATCGGAGCTGGCTTGGCCCTGACTTATCGAAGAATTAAGGAAGCGGAACCGGCTGTTCAAACCCCCACAAGGCTGCCCGCTGGGATTGGAACGATGGGAGAGGCGTGAGTTTCTCAAAATGGGCCCATTGAGTCAGCATGGATAAGATCTTGGAAAGGCTACGGCTGCTGTGAATACTCAGAATAAGATCTCTGACTGCAGACTGGATACATCTCGGAAGGACTAGCTCGGAATAACATCTCTGGGCACAAATTGGATGACATCTCGAGGAGGCACACTGCCGTGAGTTCTCAGAAATCGGCTCCTTGAGCACAAGAAATGACAACATCACAGAACGCAAGTATGGCGAAGCTCGCGGCTCTCCAATGGGAGATTGAGAGACCAGTGTTGGACTGTAGAACTGCTTTGAAATTCATATGAGCTGATCGCACTAAAGTAAAAAGCACCATCACTTCATGCGGATATACTTATTCCTAACAATCTTAGAAACACTGTGTGTATCCATATTCTCACGCTGGATAGCATTACTTTGTCCTCCAGTAACACTGTGCGGAATCTTGGCGACTTTTAATGCTCACATTAAACAAATATATAGGACTACTTTCTTGCATTTGAATTAAATTGAATCTTCTTAGGGCATCGATCCTACCTGTATGGTTAAAGGGATGTATTTGGGGATGTCCCTCAGTCCTGTGGAGCCACACTCCACAGTGAGGCTGTAGCAGCGACAGCCCACAGGGCAGGAAGGAGAGGCTCGTAGAGGAGTGGAGTGTAGAGACAGGAGGAGCGTGGAGAGAAGAAGCACCAAAAACACAGCCATCACGTCAAGAGATAAAACTGAGAAAGGTGAGAACACAGAATGAGTCATGATCAGCATTCTTCTGACTTGTTTTGAGGCCGAACAAAAATATGTAAAATGGTCAGTGAGGAGGAATTCCCTCCTACACAAATTAGCCTGAAAATAATACTGTAACAACAAACAATTTTTCAAATCAGCTTGAGCCATACAATCCAATGGATACATCCTAGGATTCTGTCAAAGGTCTCATTGGCATATTGTTTTTGTGACATTTCAGACTCCGAACAATTCCTATTTATTAAAACTGAACAAGAACAAAGCCAAAATGCAAAAGCAGCATGTAGTATCCCATTTGATTTAGTGGTTTGTGGAACCACATTTTGTGGCAACTTGAAGTCTCTCACAGTATTGTGGATCAATTTTGGCTCACTGTTCTTTATAATGTTGCTCAGAAAGTTCCTGCCACTGCATTACAATCATGTTGATGTTTCTTTTCAGCACTGTAGCCAGGCTGACAGGCTAACTCAGCTGTCTTAACTAATTATAGGCCAATCACAAACCTTCTTTTTATCTAAAAAAAATTCTTGAAAGAGTAGTTGTAGAACAGCTAACTGATCATCTGTAGAGGAATTGTTTATTTTAAGATTTTCAGTCAGGTTTCAGAGCTCATCACAGTACAGCGACTGGCCTCTGACAGTGGACTCCTCTCTGTGCTTGTCCTGCTAGACCTCAGTGCAGTGTTTGATACCACTGACCATAATACTTTATAACAGCGATTAGAGCATGCTGTAGATATTAAATGGAGTGGAGTACCTTTAAGTCATTATGGAGAATCCAGTTTATTCATGCAGATGTAGAGTCCTCTTAACACACTAAGGTTAATTATGGAGTTCCACAGGGTTCAGTGCTAGGACAAATTTTGTTTACATTATGCATACTTCCCTTAGTGAGTATCATTAGAAGACATAGCATACATTTTCACTGCTACACAGATGGCACCCAACTTTATCTACCCATGAAGCCAGATAACACACACCAATTAGTTAAATTACAGAGATGTCTTAAAGACATAAAGACCTGGATTACCGCTCAATGCTTCTAAATTCAGATAAAAGGGAGGTTTTTGTACTTGGCCCTGAAAGTTTTAGAAATATGGTATCTAATCAGATGCTTACTCTGGATGGCATTACCTTGGCATCCAGCAACACTGTGAGGAATCTTGGAGTCATTTTTGACCAGGATATATCCTTCAATGTGCATATCAAACAAATGACTTCTTCCATTTGTGCAATATCTCAGCCTTCAGTTGATCCAAAATGCTGCAGGAAGAGTACTGACAGAGAGCGAGAGCATATTTCTGCTATACTGGCTTGTCTTCATTGGCTCCCTGTTAAATCCAGAATTGAATTCAAAATCCTGCTCCTCACATACAAGGTCCTACCTTAGTTATGCTGCAAAAGAAATAGACTGCTGGAGATTCCCATGATACACTGAGTGTTTCTTCTTCAGTCACCTTTTTACTCAATATGTAGTTGTACACAACTCTATATTTAATCATTAATTCTTATTAACTAACAACTGTGGCTCCCTTCCACAGCATGTCTACTCCTGTCTTCCTCGGGGCAGATGGCTGTCCCTCCCTGAGCCTGGTTCTTCTGCAGGTTTCTTCCTGTTAAAAGAGTTAAAAAAGTTTTTCCTGCTTTCTCATAGGCGATCATGACTGTTGGGGTTTTCTCTGTTTTCTTTGTATTACTGTAGGGCGTTTATGTTACATATAAAGTGCCTTCAGGCAACTGTTGCTGTGATTTGGTGCTATATAAAATAAATAAAACTGAATTGATTCTTCTAAAATCTGACAGTCAGGATTCAGAATTGCTTACAATAAGAAACAGCACTAGAGATAGTTCAGAATGATCTGACCTCTCTGACAATGAACTGATGTTCTCGTTTGTCCTGCTAGACTTCACTGCAGAATTAGATACTATTGACCACAATATTTTACTACATAGAGTAGAACAAGCGACAGGTATTAAAGGCACTGTGCTGCAGGGATTTGAATATCTTTTGTATCTAATAAACTCCAGTTTATTCATGTAAATAGGAAAGTGTTCTTGACAAGCTAAGGTTAATTATGAACTTCCTCTGGGTGTTGTGCTGAGACCAGTTGTATTTACATTATTTATAAACGATTCTCCTAGGCAGGAACATTAGGAAGCATTACCTTGACATCCAGTACTGTGAACAATCTCTGAGTCATATTTGACCAGGATATGTCCTTCAATATGCATATTAAACTTTTGACCAGTGGATAGTCTACTATCCACTATAGACTATTACTTATAAATATCTTATATATTTATATAAATATCTTATTTGAATGATTACCTCCATATCGATGAGAGAAAGCGAGAAAGACAGAGACTGAGCTCCATTCACTCAGTGATGAAGAAACTGACCTCACAGCTCACCGTTTATTCAGTGGGCTGGTTTCAGTCATTATGCAAATGTACTGTTTATAAAGTTGGGGAAACCTGCAGTCAGCTGAGACTGAAGAAGTCACTTCAATGAGTGACAAAATGTTTCTCCCATTGAAAACGCTACGTCCAGATGAATCAACTTTTTGGCATAAGGAATATATTTATATTGTAAAAATAAAAGCTAGAAAAACACATCCATGAATTACAAATTAAATTATTTCTTAAAAATTATTCTTTTTTTCCCTTTTGCTTTTATACATTGCAAATAAAGTTAAGAAAAGTTTCTTCATGGTTCAACGGTTGCTCATCAGAGGATGATTTAAAAATGTTCTGCCAACAATTTCTTTTTCATGCGTAGTTGCAGCGTCTATCTTTTAATACATATGCCTTTCAAGAGTCTTACTGAGATGATGCAAGAAATTCTCTGCATCTAATCTCCATTGTAGAGATATTTGCCATGTAGCCTCTCTGCCTTGCTTCCACTAAATTTCACTACGCCGTAGTTTCTTCAACCCATTGGCTTCCTTTATGACATCTTCCCAGGGCACTGCGAACTTAATAAAGCAGGCAGCACAGTGTGAGTTCAACACACTACCACACAGTACAATGTCTGATCTTAAGTTAGCAAGATCAGACATTGTACTGTGTGGGGGTCCAGAACTGCAGCTTTGTTGCTTCTTTGTCAGAATACTCTCCCCTTATCATTTCAGTTGTACCAGTTAATATGATGTACTTCACACCGTCAGAGAGTTTTGTATGTTGATCTGATGATACAGCCAAACATTCTCTCTTTCATAACTCTTCTGAGGTGGTACTCCCATTTTCCCCACACCTAAACATTTCATCCACTACCTATGTTTCACCTGGGATACTGCCCAAGCACATCTTGATGTTTCCTCTTGTTAGTGGATTTCAGCCATGACTTTTTCTATACAGTCTGATGCAGATGCTTTCCCAAAGTGTTGTCGCATGCTTCTAAATCAGGGGTGGGGAACTCAAGACCTCAAGGGCCGCTGTCCTGCAGGTTTTAGATGTGTCCTTGATCCCAAGCAGCTGATTCAAATGGCTAAATTACCTGCTCAACGTGTCTTGAAGTTGTCCAGATGTCTGGTAATAAACTAATCATTTTATTCAGGTGTGTTGACCCAGGATGATATCTAAAACCTGCAGGACACCGGCCCTTGAAGCCTGGAGTTCCCCCACCTCTGTTCTAAGTCCTACGCCCAGGTGTATTCTCAAGAATGTCACTATGGAGAAAAGCAGATTTTGCTTCTTGATTTGCAATCCCAGCTTTCCAAATTCACCCTGTTTATAGATAAATGGTAAATGGCCTGTATCTGTATAGCACTTTACTTAGTCCCTAAGGACTCCAAAGAGCTTTACACATTCAGTCATCCACCCATTCACACACACATTCACACAAATGGCAGCAACTCTGATTGTTGTATTTGTAGATTCTAATAATCGTTTCATTTTGGTGCACTTAAAGGCCTACCTCTATCATGCTTGATGGAGAAAAAGTGCTTCCTGGCCAAACAACTCGATACTCCTCAAACATCTAGGGAGCCTCAACCTTTTCCTCTCGAAGAAACATATTACTCTCTGTCTTCTTATGGGTGCTGGATTAGGTGTTGGCTCAAACTAATTCTTGTCATTGTATACTTTTGTCAAAATGTGTGTCTAGTTCTTGCCTTGTCTTCAGGTATTCCCTTTTTTGCTATGGTGAAAAGTGATTTTAGAAACTTAAAGGGTTCCATAAAAATGTGATCGTACCCTCTCTTGCTTTTTTTGTACCTTTCACAAATTATCCACTTGTCTCAGGGCGAACAGCTGGTGTTTGATGTTTTCCTGGAGCTGGTTTAATCCAGAGTATTTTATAGTTGTGAATAATTTTTCTACTGTAAAAATATAGTCTTCAAATTGTTTGGAAATGGCACGTCCCAGATTATTGAACAACAACAACGGTTTCTGTGAGACCATTTCCGATGTCTTTCCTGCTTGGCATTGTGTTAACACAACTGAATACCCAAGAACAATAAAGTGGAAAAACCTCTTTTCTGATAGTGAAGGTCATAATTCCTGATGATCAAAAATATCTGATTAGCAGCACCTGGCTGCTACCTACCCTCTCAATTCTTATGAAAAAACAGCAAGGGCCTACTTCACACACTGCGTTTGCATTCGGTCTTACTTTTTGTTAAATAAATATAACACTATGACATGCTTTTGTAGTTTATCTGAGGTTATGTTTACTGCATTTTGAGACCTAAGCCTTAGAATTAAAGGTGAGTGTAATTTATTTTAAACCATGACTGTAAATGTAGTTTTATTCTGATTAACATCTCAATAAATGTAATCTTTTCCATATTCATATCAGTTGGTGAATCTCTGTCACCATAGAAACAGCTCATGCCAAGAGGATTTGACTTGCATAAAAGGATCTACCATCAAGGCCACTTCACTCTGCTGCTGCTGCTCGCCTGTAAACGTCCTCTACTGTGTAACTACAGGGCTGCTGCAGCATGAACTGGGTTTATCTGTATGTAAGATATGAAACACATAAAATATTTCCATTGACTGACAGCAGTGAAACCAGAAAAGCTGTCTTTAAGGGCAGCTAAACATGCACTCGAGCAGTCATATGCTGTGCTAAAGGCCACCTTAATAACACAGAAGCTACACAATAACAGTAACCAGTATCTGATGGCAGCGTGCATGCCAAAGGGTGATTAAATGGACTCTGCGAAGACAAACGCATATAAGATAAGAAGCACCATGATGGATGCGTGTGGAAGAATAAATACCTCGTTGGGGAAGGACGTGGGAGACCCAGAAAAGGACGTCCGACCTGCACGACGTCTTCTTATTCCTTCTTAGCAGACGGTTCTAATAATTTGCCTCAAATAAATGAAAGTAGAAGAGGGGAGGAAAAAATCGACAGTTTGCAGAGGACCGCGGGCCGTCGCACACACGCTTATGATGTCAACAAAAGACGGGAGCCAGCAGCGAAATATTATGGCAGGTTTGATAGTGTAGCACTAAGTGCAAATCAGTGCAGTGCGGTTCAGATCATGTCTTTGTTGAATGCCATCATCCAGCTGTTCATTCATTCGTCACTCCCAGTGAACCCTCCCATCCATTTACCCCACGCTGCTGCTCCTCAGGACGATCGTCGAGTCAGCAGTGCTCCGCAAGAAGCACAAAAGCGTCTCCTGCACACGTTAATCACAGCAAAGTCTTCGTGATAAATGTTGTGCATCAAACTCATCTGTGTAAGAATCTGTGGTCGTTCGCCTGCAGATTGCCATCTCACGCTAACGTAGTGCGTAAATCTGCATTCCGTGGAAACCGTGGACATTTTCATTACGCTCACCGTCACAGTGCCAACAAAATATTCTCAGGTGTCAGGAACGGAACAGAAATGGTTAATATAGATACAATCATTAGTCACGTGAACAAGGTAAGAAGGCGACATTTATCGCGTCTTCAAACGCATCAAAGACAACCAGGGTTTCAAGAACATCTCAGCCCAGCTGGAAAAGTGTGTGTTCAAAAAAGACTAAGTGTGGCGAGGTTTTAAAAGGATTTCTGATACATGCAAGCGATCATCTAATGACAACCGAGCTTTCAGGGCTGGTCAGCCCTGCAAATCGAGCCCAAGAGACTGTGTTTAATGAAATCCAAATGACATCAGAAGATCTGCTGGTAGGCAACTTCTTGTATCAAGTTACTGTAATCACAGAGACGGCAAAAAGTTCACCTTTATTTCAAGAAAAATTAGAACTCTACGTTCGGGTCCAGGTCTATGAGAGGATCCTCATCACTGATTAATCTTTGTACTGCTCTTCCCAAATACAAATGCGTGACAGTGATGCGAGGTCATCTGTTTGATGAACTGGAACAGTTCCTTTTAGGAAATGAATTCTGCACACACTAACAAAACCACTGAAGAATGACCCAAAGCAGACAGGTGCTTACAAAGTGGCTTAGTCAAAGCCCAGATTTTATTTGCCTTTACCTGTAGGCACAGTTTTAAGGACAAACATGTGTTTCCTTGTCCAGACAAAAAGGAAAAGGCAACAAGTTCTTAATTACTTTTATCCCAAGATTATCTACATTGAGCAAATCTGTAGTGTCTGACATATAACCACACACTTTAAAATACATAATGGATAATACATGTAACATACATAAGCTTCTACTTGTCAGGGTTGCTTGAGTAGCATCAGCAGCTTTTTATTTGACCAAACAGACGCCTGACAGGATGTTAAAGCTAATTTGAACCTGATCTCTTCCACAGAGTTTTCAGTGGGTTATCTTGTGGTGAACTGTTGTATTTGAGATGTACACTGACACTGTGCTAACTGTGTATGGGCTCAATTCAATTCCAATAATAGAATCACAATAGACCTTCGTAGCCACCTTTTTTGCTACAACACTGCATAGGTCTATGACAGTCATATAGCAGAAATTTAAAAAGAAAAAAAAGTTACTTTGAAACTTACTTTAAGTCATTATTTGATGGGTTTTTAACTTTATTAAAAATGCAAAAGAAGGAAGTAGCTTTGGTGCAGAAAAGCTGCGCGAGTTGAAAGTAGAACACTTCATTCTTTGGAATGCTTTGGCATCTATATAGCATTAATCTGAGTGATCAAAGTTTTTTTACACTCCGTTTATCTTTCTCATCATGTCTGATTCAAACTTGACTGTTTGCAACACTTTTGGATCATTTGTTGTCATTTTCATCTAATTACATACTTCCTTTTTTAAAATTATAAAGTTGAAACAAGCACTTTAATTGCTCACCAAGAGTACAAAAGTGGTTTATAAATTCCAGTCTATTTAACTTAATCAAACCATTAAAATGCCCTCACACAGTCAGAGGTGGGCTAGAACAGGCAACAGCATTCAGTTATGTCTGTTTATTGTTGATTTCAACATCATCATCCTGACATCTGGTATACTACAAATGCACAAAATCTATGAAAGAGTCCATCCACAGACCTGGATGAACAAGCTGCCTGGCAGCAAAGTCCTCAATCTGACTTCTGCTAATCAGTGACATGGTCACGTGTCACCGTCACCATTTGACTTTCCGTGTCCATATTTGGCACATTTCAGTTCAGTGTTGTTGTCTCCGTCACAGCTGTACCCACACAGTAAAGGCTTCTATGGTAACCAAAACAGGATCATGTGCGAGTGACCAACAAGGCTGCTGCTCCACTGTGATACTGCAACAGATGATGTAGTGCCAAGTCTCTATAACAGGACCTCAGAGTCCATTCAGTCAAAAAGTAACAAGTTGATTTCACCATGTACGACGAGAATGACACCGCTATTGCTGTTGGGTAATAAATAGGTACTGAGTTGTCAAGTGCCATCAATCTTGGTCAGGTGCTATAGTTGAAAACAGGCTAAGACTCGTTCTGTGGAAAGACGATGGGGTAGATTTGACTGTAGTGATCCACAAAGTGGACCTCCAAGCCCTGAGTGATGTAGTCTGGCAGGTCCGAGAAATCTTTCTTGTTCTCAACTGGAAGGATGATACAGGTCACACCAGCACGACGAGCCTGACAGAGGAGCCAACGACCAAAGTTAACTAAAAGTGATTCCAAGTGATTTCTCTGAAAGTAATCATAATTTTTTGTTCACATGACAGACAGCTAACACACACACACACGCTTCTGGTGACTTGTCCTGGGCTAGTGTAAGCTACATTTCAACACTTATTCAACACAAATAATTGTGTTATTCTGTTAAATGAACACACTTTATTACAGTCTGGCAGAATGGATAAAACTTGTTGCTCAGCTGCCACAATAATGCAACTGTTTCATTATTGTTAGCCACAGACATGACCTGCTAGTATATGGCTAATGTAGCTATCGAGCAATAGCTACTCTTTAAACAGCTAACATTAATATGTGTGCTGGCCATGTTAACATTTATGATACCTCTTCAGAGTTGCTGAAATGGGAGCTGTACTGACCTCAAAATCCTTCATGAAGCTGTTTTGTGAGCATCAATTACTTTAGCTGTTAGTTAATGAACGATATCCATGTTAAAGAAATGAGCAAAGAATATTTGTTGTACATACAGCAATAGTCTTCTCTTTGATCCCTCCTACTGGTAGTATTTTGCCCATCAGAGACACCTCACCAGTCATGGCTACATTCTGACGCACGGGCTTGTTGATTGCCAGGGACAAGAGTGCTGTGACAATAGTGCAACCAGCGCTTGGTCCATCTTTTGGAGTTGCCCCCTAGAAACAAGTGAAAATAGACAGGAATGAGCACTGCCAGCCACAGTTCAGTTCTACCATTATCGCAAGAAGCATCAACAGGATATTTCTGGTTCATGCATTCATTACATTATTATTGTAGGCTGTAGGCTAAAAAGTCCCTTATAGCTTTTATCTTTCTTGCTGCAGCAAGGCTTTTAACTGACACTAACAGAAGTTAGAACTAATTAATTAGTTGCTTTATATTATTATTTTATTTTAAATAATCAGGCCCCATCTTATCTTAATGACCTCATAGTACCATATCAGATAAGATAAGATATTTTATTTTATTCTATTCTGTACAGTTGTGTACTGTATTTATTCTTATTGTATTCTAATTTTTGCCTCATAACTTTTGCACTGTCCACTTCCTGCTGTGACAAAACAAATTTCCCACGTGTGGGACTAATAAAGGTTATCTTATCTTATATCACCCCATTAGAGCACATTACTCTCAGACTGCAGGCTTACTTGTTGTTCCTAGAGTATTTAAAAATAGAATTGGAGGCAGAGCCTTCAGCTTCAGCCCCCTCGAATAGAATAGAATAGAATAGCCCTTTATTGTCATCGTACATGTACAACGAAATTATGGGTGCTGCATGCCAACTGTGTGGGAATAAAATATAAATGGTAGACAGGAGGAATAAATAATAAGCAGGAGAAATGCATACAAACAATAGACGACCACAAATTGGAGAACAAAGTGCTTGGAAGCAGTGGAAAAGGACTTGGTCTGAGTATAGAGTCTGTGTGTGAGTGACCTTAGTGATGAAGGTTACTCAGACCATGATCAGATTGGTGAGGTGGGTGGGTAGGAGTGGAGTGTAGGGTGGGCAGTGTTTGTTAACAGTCCGAATGGCCCAGGGGAAGAAGCTGTTTGTGAGTCTGGAGGTCGCCTGTGCACCTGTTCTCTCTTCCCAGTCAGGATTCAGGAGACAGACACAATCTCTACTTTTAAGATTAGACTTCAGACTTTCCTTTTTGCTAAAGCATATAGTTAGGGCTGGATTAGGTGACCCTGAATCCTGCAATAGGTGTAGGCTGCTGCTGGATTCTCATGATGCACTCAGTCAGTCAGTCTAACCTAATTGGTTGTGGCAGACGGCCTCCCCCTCTGAGCCTGGCTCTGCTCAAGGTTTCTTCCCATTAAAAGGCTTTTCTTCCTCCCACTGTCATCAAAATACTTGATCATACCGCACCACCTTATTGTTGGGGTTTTCTCTGCAGTGTTGTAGGGTCTTTACCTTACAATATAAAACCCCTTGAGACAACTGTTGTGATTTGGCGCTTTATAAAATTTAAAATAAAATGGAACTGAAATGAAATAAATGGTTACCTCAGGGACGTGCAGATGCAGGTGGGAGTTGATGAGGAAGTGATTCTCCGGTTCCTGAGTCATAAGGAATGCTCTGGCGAAGGTTGAAGCGATCTTCGCACTTTCCTTCATAACATCACCCAGCTGACCTGCAGGAGAGCCACATCTTTAGTATCAGTTTACCTGCATTTGTTAAGGATCATGTTTTTAAAACCTCTGAAATGGTTTGAAGACTTTCTAACTCTGTTTCTCCTATGACCAATACACAAAGCTCAGATTACGTTTGTAAAGGACTAACTGAGGGAAGAATGTTTTTTCCTACACCCACACACTGTTTTCAATGCGGTGGCGCAAGATGGGAAACTCCTGACAGACCTGTGACCTCCAATGAGCCCTCTCCTTTAGAGTCCGCTCCTCCTGGAGGCCGGCGGAGTGAAGTCTCGATGAACAGCGTCGATCCTCCTGCACAGGAGATAAATGCACACTCAGTACAGGTAACTTTTGCTGGTGCTGTGTGTGCGTGTGTGTCTCTCTTTCTCACCCATTGCGGTCCAAGCCAGCCCCATAACCACTCCCGGTGGAGTGACATCATACATCCGATCAACTGTGAAAATAGGTTTACCCACAAACTCCTGCAGGTTTTCAGGAGTGACCATCACTCCGGTTTTTTCACCATTCACAATACAGAACGCCACCTTACGGAAAACCTGTGGGCAATAAACGAAGAACAATAAGGAGATAAATAATAGATTAAAAAAAAGGATGACACAGAAAAAAAAAATCATTTTTGGCACAACTGCTATTAAAATGAAAAAGGATGTTTTTGTCACAAAGAACCAGCAACTACATACACACATTATATTCATACCACTACTCCCAGCAAAGAAGTCTTTAGCTTCTGTGTTTTCTGAGTGCACTTTTACAATATTTTACCTTTTCAACTTGTTTCTGCAGGTTCCTGACTCCAGACTCCCTACAGTACTGCTTGATGAGCAGACTGAGAGCATCAGATGAGATTGAAGCCTTCTCCTCTGTCAGACCACAGAGTGAGCGCAGCTGTGGCACCAAGTAACGCTACACACAGAAATGAAAAAACAAACAAAAAAAAATACTCTGAGGTTGAGCCGAAAGAAAAGAAAACGCTAATATGCAATGCCCGCCCATCCATCCATCTCTTCCACTTATTAAAGGACGTGTCCACTACCCACAGGAGGTGCTGTAGGGTCGGGTGCACTGTCTATGCTGGGCGGCGGCCAAGGGCAGAAACCTTGTGTCAAAATCATTATTTCAAGTTTACAATACATGGGATGCAAAGCCCAAATATTGAGATTTCCCCTAAATATTAAGCTACACTGGGCTAGCTCTTTAATTAATTCTGAGTGATCATATTTATCCTAAACATTTCTATTCTGATGGTAATTAAAATAGTTAAATTAAATCAAACTGAACTGAAGTAACTGGCACTACACTGGGAGCAAGAGCTTGTGGAATGGTTTAAAGAAGATTAAAAGTTCACATCATATTCTGTCACCTTCGCCGTTATTACACCACCACAATGAAAACACCCACTGTGGTAATATATTTAAACAAACTGTGTTCATCCCTTAACAGAGCTTTACAGACATTGTAACGTGTAACCCGCATTTGCAGATTTTACCTCAGCAATAGCCAGTTTCTCCTGAGCCACATATCCAGAAACGTTGATCATCTCCATTCTATCCCTGAGTGGCTCTGGGATGGTGTCTATCACATTGGCCGTGCAAATAAACAAAACCTTTACAGGAGGAGAGACGGTGCACATTAAAACCACATATTATGAGGAGCTGTGGAGCACTCGTTACACAGTACCTACCTTTGACAAATCGACAGGAACATCCAGGTAGTGGTCAAGAAAGTTGGCATTCTGCTCAGGGTCCAGGAGCTCCAGCAGAGCAGAGGATGGATCGCCCTGGTAACCACGACCCATCTTATCAACCTGGTAATGACACGGTATGAACATCATCACATCATTTTATACCAGTTATATAACTATTGATGAAACTTGGAAACCAACAACTCCATGCCAACCGGTTAGATCACAAAATCAGTGCACAAGGTTCACTTGCAGACCTGGCCTGACAGTTTGGATCCATGAAAATAATCATTTGAAACATGCTGTATAACCAGATATTTGGATGGCAAGAGGAATTTGGAGTAAATTTTGACCAGGATATGTCCTATGTGCATATTAAATATTTTCTAAATATGTAGGACTGCTTTCTGTCTTTGGTGTAATATTGTTATAATTAGACAAATATTGTTTTAGAACAGTGCTGAAAAACTAGTTAATCCCTTTTTTACTTAATAGGATGTAATAATTAAAGAATTGCTCTAAAATCTCCTTGGAAAGCCTTTGGCTGAGCCAGAACAGGGACGCACTGTTGCCTCACAGCAAGATGGCCGGGGTTTGAACGCATCATCTGGGCAGGACACTTCTATGTGCATTATCCTAATGTCTGCGTGGGTTAAAAACAATCAGTTTTATTTCTATAGCACCAAATCACAACAACTGTCGCCTCAACGCACTTTACATTGTAAGGTAAAAAGGCTAGTTTAATACCGAAAAAAGAGAGAACCCCAACAATCAGATGACCTCCTATGTGAGATAAAACTTTATGATTGCACTATGAAACACCTGTCTAAAGTTACGTTAATTAAATGGGCTACACAGATAAACTATCCCCCAACGTGTGTTGTAGCAGGAACAGGACGTGATACTGTATCAGCTCAGCAAAGTGAAAAAAAAAAAAAGTAAAAAATATGACAGAGCAGAGCAGTATGAAGCCTGAGCTTCTACTTTACCCAGCCTATAAACTATCACACTGCTGTTTGACTTACTGATGGTCCCTGAACAGATCTCTCAAACTGCTGTCAGCAAAACAACTCAGTGGCTTTAAATTAATTTGACAGTTTCTCCTTTTACTGACTGGGCATTTTTTGATATAGAGTGCATGATTTTAGCACTGCCACGAACAATATACTACAGAACGTTATAGTTATAGATGTCATTCAGTGCCAGATTATATGAAGCAAAAATATCCGTTTATCAAAGTGAAGCTAAAACATCGTATCAGCACAAAAATCACACATGAACAGATGGCCTTCATATTAATGTTGCTTTGGTTACGTTATGCTGAAATCAACAGACAACTACAAGAGCATCATCACAACACTCACCTCATCTATCAGCACCAGAGGATTTTCCGTTTTGGTTTTCTTCAGACACTGAATTATCTTTCCCGGCATTGCTCCAACATATGTCCGTCTGGATACACACACATGCAATTTTTACAGTGAGTGATTTGTATCGTCTTCCTCAAAATGAAAGTTGAATTGTTGCCATTTGGACACAGAGGAGAAGACCAGGACACACTGTGGATGTTTCCATTAATCCGTAAGAGATCTACAGTTACAGAAGGTCTTAAACTGGTTCAGAGACGCACAGAGAGGCAACCTGAAAGCGGCATCCAGCCAAATCTAATTCAGGGAAGATTTCACTTTTCCTTTATAAAGTCAAGCAGCCAATAAGTTATTACTCTACCATTTGTACCTGTTCATCAGTGCCATCCCTCATGTCAGCAGGAAAGCAGAGAACGTTAAAGTTAAAGTTACTAGCAAAGCGCCGCCCTATCATTTTTCATTCCATAGTTAGTAGTGACATAAAAAAATCCACCATGATTACAAATTTTGGTGAAGAATACACTAATACTGGCCAATTAAAACAACTAAACGACTCAATCCACAGCACTCCAAGTTTTTTGTTGCTTGGATGTGTGCACAGTTGCCTTTTTTGATCTTGATTTGCATCCCATCATAGTCCATCACATTTAATTCTACCATTATCTGCCCTTGTGCAGGATGCCACCTTCTCTGCACATGATACTGACAATGTAATCCAGGATAAGGTCTCTCAGAAATAACAGTAGCACAGATCATACCTGTGCCCCTTGATCTCAGCCACATCTGTCATGCCTCCCACGCTGAACCTGAAGTATTCTCTGTTGAGAGCTCTGGCTATCGAGCGGGCGATGGAGGTCTTTCCTACACCTGGAGGACCGTAGAAACACAAGATCTTCCCCTGGGTGGTGCCACGAAGCTGGCTCACTGCTATAAATTCCTGTAAAAAGAAAGATGTTCATTTCTATAAAAAAGGATCCACTGTTCTGTGGGTGTGGATATATCTGATGTATCAAATACAGAGTATTAGAGTGTGTGTGCGTACCAGTATGCGTTTCTTAACATCATCCATTCCATAATGGTCTTCTTCCAGGACTTCTTTCGCTCTGTCCAGTAACAAGTTCTCTTCACTGTTGGTACCCCAGGGCATGCTGGTCAGCCAGTCTAGATAGTTGCGGGTTACACTGAAACAAACAGTAGATTCCTGATTATTGCAAATAGTCAATAAAACAAGCAGATGGACAGCCAATGTTAAAACAGATGGAGCTTTGCTACACGGAGACGTAGTTATGAGCAGCATATGAATAAAACGTTTGACAACATTAAGCCCATTAAGTTATTTTTAACAGATGCCGTATGCAGCCAAACTTTAAAACATTGTAATACCTAAAATGGAAATAAACAGTTCATTCTGAAAGACCTGTGGTTTTTCTCTTTTGAATATTTATTGTTTTTATCTAATTACTCAATTGATCGATGGACTAATCGAGAGATTACTCAGTTACTAAAATAATCAATAGCTGCTGCCCTAACTGAGATTTCCTTTCTCATAAATGTTCTCGTTTCTTTATTTTGTTCTTCTCTCCTTTGTCTCTCTTTACGTAAGCTCGTCATACTGTCTCGACTCATTTACTTCATTTAAACTCAAAGAGAAAGAGGACCAAGGAGAAAGGAGGCTGCCAGGGGAGCTGTGACTGGAGACAAACGGGTGTTCGCTTCGTGACGTCTTTTATACACCAGTAATGTATAAGAGTGGTGTGACACACAGCTGGAGTGCACGAAATATGGTGGGAGCAGAACTACATCAAATAAAATGCAAAACACATCACACCTACCTGATGTTTCTATAAAACTGCAGCTAAAAAGCAAAGATGCCTCATTTTGTTAGAAAATGGAGCGATAAAAGGAAGTGAGGGTGCGCGACCCAAGTCTCCAAGGTAACGTGTTAGCCAGGAGACTGTTTTAGTGATTGGGTTCGTTAGATACTGCATAAGTGCAAATACCAATGCAATCGCGCACACGCACCATGGAGCAAAGAGGGGTTCAGATAACACGTGTTAAAGTATCCTTAGCCAAACTCTGCTTCCTCTTCCTCTGTTCTATTTTCCAATAGCATAACTACATAAACTACATTTCCCTCTATTCTGTTTAGTAGTTTTCAAGTTGACTCCTGTTTTTTTTTTTAGTGTAAAGTGGTATTGTGGTTCAAAGGCCTTTGAAGACTAAAACAAGACGACTAACTTGAACTCTGATGAATGGTTGTCCAGAAGACCCAGCTTGTTGAGTTCTTCGTTGATCACATCCATTATATGCTGAGGGACCATCCTATCTTTCAGTCTTTCACGAAACTTCTCCTCAATAGCATCTTTGTCCTCCTTTTCCAGACCCAGCTCCTAATGACAAAAACACAGAATATTTTATGAGCCACATCTTCACACACCTGCATCCACGGCGCATGCTCCTACTGTACTCTGAGTGCAGCTCACATTTTCTTTGCCTATGATAAAGATAAAATTATGCATTTAAATCTGAAACTGTGTATGCACCTGCCAAGAGAACAATACCAAAAGCATATAAATGGAAAATATGGTTCAAAGTACACCAGACAGGTGATTTGATGTAGTATCCAGTCAGTTTTCAATTACGTCATGCTGTAGTACCTGGTACTTTTTTAGTACCTGCTCGCCCGGGGTTCCAAGCGATACGAGCAGGTGCTAAAATGTGACGTCAGACGACTACATGCCACTACATGGCTGATCATTTGATGAGTTCCCAAAAATCAAATCTGCCATTTTTGAAACCTGAAAACAAGAAATGGCTACAAAAACATCGCCATGATCCCAGAGAATTACAAAATGCCACAGACCGAGCTGCAGGTATATTCTTGCCTCAACGTCCACCTTTGTTGTAGCATTTGTGTCGCATACTAATTACCTCGCGGGACGCTCTGACGACATGTGTGTCAGATAGCACTGTTTGTAAAAGAAAACCGGTCGATCTAAGTTGAATCGTGGCGAGTCGATCGGAGTAGGTACTAATGGAAAAGGTGCTTTAGGTGTCAGCTGTGCCGGATTGAGACTATTGGCTTGTAAGACGTGTCTTAACAGTATGCTGACAGTTGACTGCTGAAAGTCCCCAGAGTTTTTGAGAGCCCAAGTGTTTCTCCTGAATGACTTTGGGTCTGTCAGGCAAAGGGAAGACAGAGGTGGTCTGTCACAGATTAGTCTGGTGTACCTTCTTAATGATCTTGAGCTGCTCCTGCAGCAGGTACTTCCTATGGGTCTGTTTGATCTTCTCTTCCACCTGAGAACAAAGAAGAGACACGGATGAATGGCCAAGGGTAACAACCTAAGCAGAAGTTATTTAATACTTCAACATTATGATGACGTCTGACCTCACGACCCAAGCGCTGCTGTAGCTTACTCAGCTCGTACTCCTTCTTGAGTAAAGACAGAGCCTTGTAGAGACGTTTCGGGATCTGCATGGACACAGAAACAGGACTCAATGAACTGCACACAAAACTTTTAATGAACAGAACTCTGCAACACTGATTTCATGAAATAGAACAGCAGAGTTGGAGATGACGTTTCTGTAGTAATCTCTCAGTAACAAAAAAAACAAAAAACGCTGCTTTCTTGATTTATTATTATTTTGTATGAGAAAAGCGTTTCTTAATAAGTCTGTACACACGCATAAACGAGGGTATTAGAATCAAATAAAGACACTCCACTCAGAGTTGAAAATCAACTGGACACTATTAGTGTATCAAAAAACAAGTTTTAGGATAAGAAAAGGAGTCACGAGTTAGCACATCACTGGTTGCTCTGGAAAATGCTCACACACTGAGTGTCATAAAGGTCTATAAGCAGGCAGACTGCTCACATTAGTCTCCTCCAGGACGTCTTGTAGTTCATGCGATTCAGCTCCCGTCAGAGCTGCTCCCATATCGCTGAGATAGATGGGGTTATCAACCACACGCTGACCAGCCTGCATCATCTGAAGGACCGACTCTCTGGTTCACACACAAACAAGCACATTTCAGAAAACGTCCCTTTCATCAATACTACAGTTGGATTTTGTTTTCATCCCGACAGCCTGGTACTAATATAAACATCTGACTTTAAAGTGTTTTCATTGGCAAATTAGAAAACAGCCTAATTCAGCATCAGCTGAAAAGGTGCACCGAGCACAGATTGCCTGGAAATTGCTTTAAGATGTTGAACACCCTTACTAGGTTTATAGAATGGAAACCTGAAACTACAAGCAGTATAAAGTAAAAAAGTAAAGTAAAATGAAAGTTTACAGATTGCATATGATAAAACTGAAATGGTAGAACTGACCTGTAGAGGGGGTTAAGTGCAATGATGTCTCTGATGGTCTTTACTATCTCTGCTGTCAGCGCCTGTAGAACACATGACATTACAGACGTGTGTGTTAAAGAATGACAAACAGTTTAATTTTTTTTTTTTTTTTTAATCACTTGATTGAAGATGATGTAATAACGCGCTACTTTGATGCGTTTTCTGTACCTTGACCTCCTCGGTGACGGTGAACTGTTCATGCTGAACATTGTCCACTTCGACCATCAGGATGTTGGAGGAGGGCAAAGGTTGAAGCTCTGGACTCAGGTCTGCCTCTGATATCTGAATAGAACAAAAATAATTACTATCAATGTGGAAAGAACTGTAAACTATAAATATTACTATACCCATCACTAATGACACATTATCAAAACCAAGATGCACAGCTTGGTGGACACTGACTGAACCAAATAGTTTCAAACCATCCTTAACAAATGTAGGTCATGTTGAAAGCTTACACACTTCTATAAAAGGAACTTCTTCTTTTTTTTTTTATTTACTTAAGCTGCCAATGTACCCTCCGCTGTGGTTGCTTCATGCACCGCCGCATCATCATCACACAGATGCAGTGATTTATACCCCCAGTTAAGAAGCAAGAAGTCGCTGCAGTATTCTGTTAAACAATAGGTGTCGCCACTCAGATAAAACTGTCTAGCAGGACAAGCACAGACATGAGTCCACTGTCAGAGGACATAAGAAGATCATTTGTAACGTCACTAAAGCTGTTTCTGTGATGAGCTCTGAAACCTGACTGAAACTCTTCAAATAAGCCATTCCTCCACAGATGATCTGTTAGCTGTTCAGCAACTACTCTTTCAAGGACTTTTGAGATAAAAGGAAGATTGGCCTATAATTGGCTAAGACTGCTGGGTCAAGACATGGCTTTTTAAGTAAAGGTTTAACTACAGCCAGCTTGAAGGCCTGTGATACATAGCCGATTGTTAGAGATAGGTTGATCATATTTAAGATTGAAGCATTAATTAATGGCAGGACTTCTTTGAGCAGTTTTGTAGGAATGGGGTCTAAAAGACACGTTGATGGTTTGGAGGAAGTAATTATTGAAGTTAACTCAGAAAGATCAATTGGAGAAAAAGAGTCTAAATACATACCAGTGGTACAGAAAGCAACTGTACATAATGTTATGTCTGTGAGATGATTAATATGAGTAATTTTTTCTCTAAAGGTTAATTTTTTTGTGAAGAAGTTCATGAAGTCATTACTAGTTAACGTTAAAGGGATGTTTGGCTAAAACAGCACTCTGACTTTTTGTCAGCCTGGCTACAGTGCTGAAGAGAAACCTGGGGTTGTTCTTATTTTCCTCAATTAGTGAAGAATAGTAAGATGTTCTGGCTTTATGGAGGGCTTTCTTATAAAGCTGCAAACTATTTCCAAATGATGATCTTCTAAGTTTGCGATATGCCATTTCCTCTCCAGCTTACGAGCTACCTACTTTAAGGTGCGTGTATGAGAGTTATACCAGAGAGTCAAGTACGTCAGATTTGAGGCTCTATTGTTCACAGGAGCTACAGTATCCAGAGTCGTACGTAGTGAGGAGTTAAAATTATAAACAAGATAATCAACCTCTCTTGCAGTAGTGTTCAGGTAGCTGCTCTGCTCTGTGTTGTTCCAGGGCAAGATGATAACAGCGGGTGGATTATATCCTTAAACTTAGTTACGGCAGGTTCAGAAAGACATCTACTGTAATGAACTCTACTCCTCACTGCTGTGTGATCAATTATTTTAAATTGAAATGTTATTAGGAAATGATCAGACAAGAAAGGGGTTTTCAAGAAACTCTTACAATGTTCAGTTTCTATATCATATGTTACAACAAGATCTAGAGTGTGATTAAATCATAAGCACCGATTTCAAACTGCTCCAACATCTTCCTCTGTGTATGTCTCTGAGCTTCTGTTCAGGATTAATATTAAAATGGAGCTAAACCATAACCGTACAGTTGTATCTTCAACCCGGCTCAAGATGTGCACAACCGACCGACGGGACACAAAGATTGTGTCTCACGACGCAGGGTGTGTGAAAATCGTCAAGCGACACCTACGACACAAGCAACACGGCAATGTGAAAACGCCTTACACTGTGATTATATACATTTGGGGGAAATCTGATCAAACCTGTGACAGGTTGCTTCTCCCAAAGTTAAGGACCAGCAGACTTAAAAAGTGGAGTGGGATCCGTTCGGATTTCAGAAAACTTCAACCGTGATCCGTTGCACCACTGGCAGTTAATTTAAAGCCGAGACAACTTAAGAAGAGGTCCAAAAGAAAATGAACGCTGTGGTGAAATGAATCTTTGTGTCCTTCTCTCGACTGCGTGCATAGAAGGCATATGTGATATTAGGCTCCTGTTTCTCACCTTGTCCTCAAGCTGCTCTGGCAGAGAACTGAGATGGTCCTTGCGGCTGCGTTTGGTTTTGCGTCTTTGTGTAGGTTTCTGGTGGGACTCTGGCTCAGACTCCAACTCTGACACAGTTGAAGCTATTTCCTCTTCAGGCTCCACCTGCAGCTGTTTTGTGATCCGGATCCTTACAGCCCAGATGATATACAGAAGAAATAACATACATACTCATAAGTGAGAGCACTGTCTCCAGAGTTCTAATGAAACCAATCCCTATGCCCTTTAACCTAAAATTTCTCACCCACCAGTAATAGCAGTACATCTAACCTGCGGTGTCCCATGACAATCATCCTCAGCTTGTCTCCCAAGTCCTGCATCTCATGAATCTGAACAAAGGTTCCTGTGGTGTAGATGGCATCTATAGACTCCACTACATCCGACTCGTTACTGCAACAGACAGAAAGACATGTTTACTATCAAAACACCAGACAGAGAGCAGGTCTCTTAAATGGACTTGTCCAGGAAAATGAAACAATGCTTTTATCAGGTGGATAAATTGGTCAGTCAGTCACCTAGACTGCAGAAACACAAAACAACCTGGTTGTTAAATCAAAGGTAAGGCAGACGCAGAGAAACGCAGCCGCAAACGCTGAAGCACCTACGATGGCAGAAGCACAAACCGAAATGGTCATCACACCAAAAATAACAATCTTGCAAAGACCAAAAAATGAGCTTGAAAAAGCCAGAAGACCAAATCCTGAAAAGTCTCCTGTGGCACAAGCTCAAAATGAAATGTTGGTGAAACCAAAGAAAACAAAAAAGCAAAAAGTGGCTGAAGAACCAAGAAGACCAATTACTCGGGCATATGCCTGCGCTCTTGTTGAAGCTCAAAACAACATAGGTGATGGAACAAACCCGAGAAATAAAGAAATGCAAGAAAACACTGAAGCCACTTCTGAAAGGGAAAAAGCTGAATCCCTCACTATCTCAAAAGCAAAGGAGGACATAAATATGGAGAGAGAGGGAAACGTGAATAACCCCAGCAGACCAAACCCTGGGCCTAATGGAGAGACTTGGCAATATCAGCCCGATCCCAGATTTAGACCCCATCAGGGCAGTGTCCAGTTTAAACCATGGCACGAGATGCTGCTCTCAGACAGCAACTGGAAGTCTCCCAGAGCCATCAGAACGCCCTTTATTGGAAAATGGTAGCTGCTAACAAGAGGGCTTCTTATCACCTGTTTCAGGTGAACAACCTTCATGCACAAATGCACGAGAACAAGAGAAATCCTGAGGAAACGATTAAAGACCTCATAGAGCAGCTGGAGGAGGCTTCTAGTAATAAGCCCAATAGCAACAGTGAAGCAATTGTCAAACTTGATGAGGTGATGGTTACCCTGCAGGAGGCTTCACACACACACACACACACACTCTGTAGGCCTGACGTCCTCTAAGGAGGCTGAATTTGAGGTCCAATGTAGGAATCAACAAGAGCAGATAGAGATGCTCCAGAAACAGCTCCTAGCAGCTGAAAATCAACTCAAAGAACAGGACATTAAACATAGGCAGGAGCAGGAGACAGTCAACACAGAAATCAGTGACCTCAAATCCCAGCTCTGCTCCAACAAGGCCCTTCGTGATTTGAAGGTAGAGACTCTTAAGTGGGAGCTGAAAGAAGCCAAAGCTTCCTCACTTAAAATCCCACAGCAGCAAAAAGAACAAAATTCCACCGATGCAAATGAAATGTCAAAATCTGAGCCTCTGAAAGAAAAAGACACTGGAGAACAGGAGAAGATGGAAAAAGAGGACTCACTGCCATCTACTGCAATGTCTCTGCAGGAGCCTCAGAAAGAAAAAGACACCACAGAACAACAGAAGATAGAAAAAGAAGAGTCAGCTGCATTGTCTGTACAGGAATCTTTGCAAAGACTACGAGACACACAGAAAATGCTCACTGTGAAGGTGGCTGAACTCGAGACTGAAGTTAAGAGCCTGCCAGAGATTCCGCCAAGTAAGAAGAAGAAGAAGAAGAAGAAGCGGAACTGGCTGCGTCGCCTTTCCACCTAATTGGTCTCAACAACATGTCCTAAAAATCACATTTATATACAACTAAATTGTCAGTGAACATTTGGACCCCACTCGGTCGAGACAGAAGACCACCCCTTCCTGAGCCCGGTTCTGTCAGAGGTTTCTCCCTATTAAGAGGGAGTTTTTCCTCTCCACTGTCGCCAAGTGCTTGCTCATAGGGGATTTGGGGGCTTTTTTTTTTTTTTTAAACACCAACCACTGATAAGCTCACTGACATCAAATTTAGGACTCAGCAGATATGGAAATGGATGATTTGTCATCAAGTGAGGAATCATTCGTTTAAAACATATTTGCTGAGTCATATTTAGTTGTATATAAATAAGATTTCTGGGACACTAAAGCCAATCACAGGCTAATTTGGAAAATTGGGAAAAAAATAGATGTGTCATTGTTTCATATAGATTTCAAATAACATACCATTTGATGTCAACATATCTTTGTTACATATGCAGTGCTTGTGGTCTTATATTCTTATGATTCTGTTCATTTTATGAGTATATCCTTCTGCCTTGCTTCACATATTTACTGCTGCTTGGCTAGCTCTAGTCATGCTAGCATCAGCACAGGTAGAAACAGATAAACATCAGACATCGCATAGCTTGTGTTTATGTTCAGAGTAGGGCTGGGCCATATCATACCGTTCACGGTAATACCGGTATAATGTTGGGCAACGATAAGAAGATGAAATATCACGATAGAATATGGGTAAAACGCGCATGAGCAGTGCCTTTGTTTTCATATGCACATGGCGGCGACAGAGAACGAGAAGGGCGAAAGTGGACTGCTGAATGAAACGGATGAACCAATCAATCAATCAAGGCTTTATTCGCCACGTGCAGGTTGCCCTGCAGTGAAATAGGACGACCCCCCCCCCCCGACCTTACACACACAACACAGACATCACATGGGGATACAGGTCGGAGATCGGTAGCGTTACAGAAAAAAACCCCACGGAGGACAGCATGAGAACAGGAAACAAAAAAACTCCTCTGCACAAAAAAGCACATAAATGTCCACAGCGTTTGGAAAGGGAGGGGGGATGAGTGTGTGCATATCAGTGTATATGTATGTGTGTGTGTGTCCAGAGTTCAGCTGAGACAGTGTCCTTCGCCCTGCTAGGCTAAGTAAACAGTCTTCCAGCCAACCCAGGTGGCCTTGCATGGAATGGGAAGGAACAGACTAAACACAGTCGTTATCAGGGTGATTTTGTTTGGCTCCAGCCTTGTGACCGCAGCTGGCGCCAAATGGGTATCCGCATGAACCAAAAGGGTATCCGCATGAATTTGTTTGTAAAAATGCTGCAACTTCAGTGGTGTGGAACTGGTTTAGCTTTCGTCCATCAGATACACAACAAAGCACTATTTTTGGTAGAGCATGCTCGCGGGCCGTCGTTATTACCGTGTTTTTTGGAAAATACGGCACACTTAAAATCAATCCTTTGATTTTTCTGAAAATCGACAGTGTCCCTTATAATCAGGGGTGCACATAAGTGGTCCGCAGGTGCGCATTCGCTGTCAAAATAAAAGACGTGCACTAGATAAGAAGGTGCAACGGCGGAGCCACGCGATGGTTTTACTGTTAAAAACAGTCGTTTGTCTGTCCGTAGTGTGGTTATATTAAATATAAGAGAAAGAGAGAACATTAAGAAATTCTACAGTGACCACCAAAACAATAAAAAAATATTGTCGTAAACAGTTTATTTTGTGACACCACGAAACAAACGATAGCGTAAAATGAAACGATAGACGTTTTCATATCGACATCCGATATATATCGTTATATCGAACAGCCCTACAGCAGCCTACACCTATTGCAGCATAAGTGAGATGCACAGTCCTGTGCAAAAGTCTTGAGCCAGTCCAGTCTTCTGATGTGAATAAAGTTTAAAGCAAAACTTTTAACAGCTATGAAATCCCTTTCTATTTCACCTGCAATGCTGCATACAGTACAGGTACTGCCGCTTGGGAAACATAATTACCAGGGTTAACCATTTCCCAAAGCCTTTGGTCTCACTGTGAGTGTTGGATAAATGGAATGCAATAGTGTTAGCAATTGCAGTATGTCTTTGTGAGCTTAATGGATCCATCAGACGGACGTCTGAGTTGGCACTGGATGATTCACTTATTAATCACTGCACTATTTTTCTTGGCCCGCATTATACTGTAGCCTGAAGTCTGATGTTGCTCTACAGCGCTCTTTGCGTATTATTTGTCTATACCACAATGATGACGTCGTGAATCAATTAGCATTCAGTTTCCCCCCCAAGGCAAAGGAGAAGTGCTGACATCTGAAAGGATGGCAATTCTATGAAAATGCTTTAAGAAAACAGCTGCTTTAGTAACTTCTTCAGTCCGACCCCTCTGCTGTGATGCAGATGTCAAACTAAAAACGCCACTCAACTAGTATCCTATAGATTAATCCATCAACTAATTGAGTATAACAATAAATTATATCTGTAAAGTAAACTCAGACTGTATAACCACATGGAGCAAAAACACACCACTGAGATCAGTATTCATCTTGAGGCATGCAACAACCTGGTGATCAGTAATTCAACTGGAGAAGTGACTTCCAAACTTACGCATCATCTCTCTTCATGAAGACTCCAGCATATGGCTGAGCCAGACGCACCTTCCTCCTCAGCAGTTCCATCAGTCCTTTGTTTTTAACCTGACATGAAGAGAGAAACATCACACACTGGAATACAATAAACAGTAGTTTCCAGGGGTTGTCTGGAAAATGCCCTTATCGGTTGTGAGACATTTTACTTTATTGACTAAATAAAGAAGAGAAACTAAGTCTTAATTTAAAAAAAAAAAGAAAAAACAAACAGCAAAAAACAATGTGCTATGCAACAGCATTTCTACCCACTCCTCACACACCTTTGTGGCAGTCACATGGTGTTCTCTTCAAAATGTGTAGTTTTAAACAGACACTGAGATAATAATGGTAATGTGGCATTAAGTGAAATGAAGACACACTTCTACTTCCGAAGCACAATTTTAACAACCTTAATTAACCAGAGTTTACAGGTTATAAAACATATACACTATACATGACTGTAACTAAATGTTCCAAAGATTAGGAGCCACCACTAAAAAATAAAATAAAAGGCTCTATCGCCTCTTCAGTTTAAGACTGGACTTCCTCTGATAACCTAAGGTGTACTAAGTTTTACCGAAGACCGTTTAAATGTCAAATCACTCTCAGTTTGTTGCGTGATTGCGTCACCCTCCCTTCAACCAGACCAAGTAGCGGACAGAATGTGCAAGGTTACATCAGACTCACCTCGATGATCTTGATGAAGCGGGGGAACACCGGGTTCCTGCTAACGGCAACCAGAGGCACATTGGGAAACACCTCGGGGACCATCATGGGGGTGAGAGCCGTCATCTGAACCCCGTTGTAAGGTGCTCCGCCGTCTCCCCCAGGCTCTTCTCCCCCGGAGCTTGCTCCGTCCTCGCCATCCTGTCCAGAGAAGCCCGCACCTGCCCGGTTTCCATACATCCTACATTGAAGCGTATACGGTCCACAGCTCCGGGTGAGGACACTGTCTTGGAAGTGTGGAACGGCCCCGACACGTATCCACCGGCGAGGTCTGCCGGTCAGCCTGCTGCCAGCTGTCAGTGCTGTGGTGGGGGACATGCATGTTTTCTGTGGGGTTCCGATGCTGGTGTAGAACCGCGCTGGCTGTTGCCGGCTCAGTGGTGATGTCTCGGTCAAGCGGGAGACAACGCCAGGCCAGTGTAGTTTAGCAACAAAAGCCGAATTTCTGTGCAGTTGTTTAGCAGCTCCTATCATTTTGACACAGGTGGCCATGTTTATCTGGAGCCTTCTACGGCTGCACGTGACGATCCGTCTTCCGTCCAATATTGATGACGTAGTGTTGCTCACGCAACGATTCTAGAACAGTGGTGTCAAACGTAAGGTCGGGGGCCAGAATCGACCGAGGAAAGACTCCTATCTAGTCTACCCTAAGGTTTCTGGGGGGGGAATGATGAAGTGCATAGGTTTTTAACTTTAGGTTTTACAGATTTTGTACTGACTGAAGACTTCACCAGCTGGCATTCATACTACTCCAAAATATTTAAGTAATAGTTAAAAAATTAAATGACACACAAACAAATTCCCGTTTTCCCACTATCTAGTACAGAAATTTCTGGGAGTCTTTTGTTTTGATTTTTTTTTTTTTAAAGCAAATCAAAGTTTGTTGAAAGAAAGACAGAAAGCAAGAAGAGAGAGTTTTTGTTTTTATAGTAAAAAAAGAGAACAAAAACTTTATGTTTTATAAAGACAGGTCAGTCTGGGCAATGAGCTAGTAGAACTTTGTAATTTTACACATTTTTCATGAAGAAACACTGGAGACGTACTTTTGAAGCATCTTTTTCTAATACTTATAAGATATCCCAGGGATTATGTGAAGTTAAATGTGTTTACAACTGTGTTGTAAACACACTAAGATATTCTTAGTGTGTTTACAACACATTTAACTGACAGAAATAATTTTTTATTTTGTTAGTAGATGCATTAATGACATTAATGCATTCATTTGTGTTATGTTTGATACTACTATCAGTGATAGTTGAGCATTGCTGAACACATCCTATGCCCACTAGGTGGCGATGGAGAGTACCATTTGACCAAATGACCAACTGACGCATAACATGGTTGGAACCACCAGTTAAAATGTAATCTAGATCAATAATGATTATAACCTACTATGTCTTTCCTCTTCCCACTAGGAGGTGCTCTAACTATTGCAGCCAAATGGCACATCAATCTGTTCAGGGCTCGACTCTCATCATGCCCGTGAAGCTTGGGAGAGATTGGCGAATGGTCAAGCTCAACGTGCAGCCATGGCCACACCTTTTCACGAAACTTCAAAAGCTTTGTCATTTAACATCATCGAGGTGGGCCGTTCTATGTAAACTCACAATGTTCACACTGAATCGCCATGATGGTCTGACGGTTATTCTCACCACTTTTGAGGCAGATAGGTTGGCCACGCCCTATGATGATAACTCAAAAACTATGCCATTTGAAATGGTCCAGGGTCTGTAGTTGAGACTGGCCAACTGTCCCACAGCCCAATAAAGGAGATGTGGAAATAGCTTCAGTCTGTTGCAGACTAACGTGAAATTCAATTGATTGATTAACAAGATATTCTTAGTGTGTGTTCTTTCCAGAGGCGTAATAGAAAGTCAGCAGCAGGCCTGAATCAAGTATTACAACATTTTATACATTTTCTAAATCATCCAAATTAGTGCAATCCTGTGACAATGTGACACACAGTTTGTACTTCATTCCATGGTTTTGGTGAAGTACAGTTTAAAACAACTGCGCTTAAAACAACTCCAGCAGCTTTAAAGTTTTAGTTTTAAATCAGCGGGATTAGCCATGTTTTCACGGATTTCGATATTTACAGCATGTTTTCATTGTGATATTGTCAAAAAAGGCCATGAGGTTGATAACAAGAGTGAGCCTAAATGCTGAACCAACAAAGAAACTAATGTTTTAGAGTTTATTTTCACACAAAAGAGTTATGGTAAATACAGGGGAACACAGGGTTCTCTTCCAGATCTGGAGAGTGTGTTATGGTATACTGAGGGAAGAGAGGAGAAATTAGGTAAGTCCGGACTGACGGTACATGTTTGAGGCTGATCAGGAGGTTGTACTGACTCTAAGCAGTTTTGGTGACAGTGCATACTCCATGAAATTAAATGCTATTCATTGCAATATACTGGACATTCACTGATAAGATTCAACATACTGTTTTAGAGAGGTTGAGATTAGATGAACATGGTCCTTCATGAATATGAATGTGTGCTCTTGTGTTATTAAAACAAATGTACTTAAATTAATAGTGTCATCTCTACTCTTCGTCTTGCTCGATGCCAGTAATATAAGGGGTGACGGAAGTTACAGCTATCGTTGTAATCACCCTGTCTCTGGTCTTTTAACTCCAACTACCACAAGTTTAAAGGCTGTAGATTGTAGCCATTACTTTAACACTGTATATAAATGTAACAGGGCTCAATGCTGGTTTTTACAGTTTGAGCTACTTCAAACTTTACTTGGGAATTTCACATTATCATACTAAAAATAGTAGCTAGGTAGTACTGCTGTAATATTTTCATATGCTATCATGATCTTAAAAGAGCAGAGTTAGGGATTAATACAGTGGGTGATCTTGTTCATGAGAACTCTCTTCTTACTTTTAATCAACTGAAAAGCAAGTTTGGTCTGACCAATAAGGACTTTTTGAAGTACTTTCAGGTAAAGCACGATATTACTTCTAAATTGAAGGATTTTAATGGAGGGTTTGGTCTTTCTCCTACAGAATCACTCATGGTAAAAACTACCCAACTAAAATGTATCACTAAAAAGATTTATAACATTCTCTCTGATCTTAGAATGGATAACTCTAACAAAGTCAAGGGCC